AACTTTCTGAAAAAATGAGCAAGATGATGATTAGAAAGATTTAATTTATTTCCTTTTTTAGCTTTGGACTAGCCCGGAAACTTATTCTGTTTTCTGCTTTAATTGCTATTGGTTTACCAGTCTGAGGATTTCGGGCTGTTCTGGGTAAGGAACGACGAACTTTTAAACTGAAATAACCTCAGAGCAGAATATCTTCTTTTTTCTGCAAACTAGTTTTTACTTCTTCTAAGAATTTATTAATTATTTTGGGGACTTTTCTTTCTTCTCATTTTTTTATTTCCTCATTCAGGTGAGCCCGTAATTGTTTTTCTTCAATATTGAGCCGGACTTGGGGATTTTTTTTGGCTGATTTTACTTGGGCGATAATTTTTCCCACTAATCTCTTATCTTCCGCAATCTCTTTTTTTATCCTTGTTATCAGGATGTCTTTATTAGTAATATTTGTCATATGATTTATTTTTAGATGCTATTAGTATTATCAATTAAATTTTTCAATTTCTCGCAAGAAAAATTCTTGCAGACTATAAAACAAAAAAGTGTTGATCTCAGTTTCATTTTCCTTGCCGTGATGACCCTTAGGACAATGATGATAAATAAGAAAAGCGTGGGCAAGCTCGTGGGCAATAGTTTCATTAGTGGGGTTATCCCTTAGTCTGATAGTAATTTCCTTAACTCGCGAGTTAGCAATTTTTTCCGTTTCGGCTTGCAGTTCTTGATTCACCTTCTCTATTTTTTCACTATTTCGGCTTTGAAAGGAACTAATATCGGCAAATTAATAAAGCAAATAACTACTCTTTTGCCCCACTCTTCTGGCGAAGACACTAACCAAAAAGAAAATCGATCAAAATTACTTATTTTTGGCCCACCTAATTCCGGTAAATCTACTCTTATGAATTATTTGCTGAAAGAAAATCGTTCTTTGGCTACTCCGATTGCTGGAACTACCCAAGAGCCGGTAATTAGTAATTGAAATTGGAAAAAAATTGACTTGGAACTAGTTGATACGGCCGGCATTACCAAAGAATAGAAATTAAAAGAGAATGTGTGGAGGAATTGTGATTTAGCCTGAGCAATAATTGATGCTTCTCTGCCCTTGACCAAACAAATCCTGCAAATAGTTAATTTGGGG